AGTAAATGTACTTAGTTATTTTCCAAAACTACTGTGTTGTTGGTGTGGACTGTAATATAAAAAGGTGTTTCTGTGAAAAATGACCTGGGAGAACTGGGAGATCCTTTGTCAGGAGCCTTACATATATAAGCTTTAGCTGTACTTTAGTATTTTGTCAGCATTGTACAGTAGCTGAATAAACCTTTGTGAAGTTAGGCCTACATTGCACTACCTGCAGTAATTTTTACAGTGCCTTGCGAAAGTATTCGGCCCCCTTGAACTTTGCGACCTTTTGCCACATTTCAGGCTTCAAACATAAAGATATAAAACTGTAATTTTTTGTGAAGAATCAACAACAAGTGGGACACAATCATGAAGTGGAACGAAATTTATTGGATATTTCAAACTTTTTTAACAAATAAAAAACTGAATAATTGGGCGTGCAAAATTATTCAGCCCCTTTACTTTCAGTGCAGCAAACTCTCTCCAGAAGTTCAGTGAGGATCTCTGAATGATCCAATGTTGACCTAAATGACTAATGATGATAAATAGAATCCACCTGTGTGTAATCAAGTCTCCGTATAAATGCACCTGCACTGTGATAGTCTCAGAGGTCCGTTTAAAGCGCAGAGAGCATCATGAAGAACAAGGAACACACCAGGCAGGTCCGAGATACTGTTGTGGAGAAGTTTAAAGCTGGATTTGGATACAAAAAGATTTTCCAAGCTTTAAACATCCCAAGGAGCACTGTGCAAGTGATAATATTGAAATGGAAGGAGTATCAGACCACTGCAAATCTACCAAGACCTGGCCGTCCCTCTAAACTTTCAGCTCATACAAGGAGAAGACTGATCAGAGATGCAGCCAAGAGGCCCATGATCACTCTGGATGAACTGCAGAGATCTACAGCTGAGGTGGGAGACTCTGTCCATAGGACAACAATCAGTCGTATACTGCACAAATCTGGCCTTTATGGAAGAGTGGCAAGAAGAAAGCCATTTCTTAAAGATATCCATAAAAAGTGTTGTTTAAAGTTTGCCACAAGCCACCTGGGAGACACACCAAACATGTGGAAGAAGGTGCTCTGGTCAGATGAAACCAAAATCGAACTTTTTGGCAACAATGCAAAACGTTATGTTTGGCGTAAAAGCAACACAGCTCATCACCCTGAACACACCATCCCCACTGTCAAACATGGTGGTGGCAGCATCATGGTTTGGGGCTGCTTTTCTTCAGCAGGGACAGGGAAGATGGTTCAAATTGATGGGAAGATGGATGGAGCCAAATACAGGACCATTCTGGAAGGAAACCTGATGGAGTCTGCAAAAGACCTGAGACTGGGACGGAGATTTGTCTTCCAACAAGACAATGATCCAAAACATAAAGCAAAATCTACAATGGAATGGTTCACAAATAAACATATCCAGGTGTTAGAATGGCCAAGTCAAAGTCCAGACCTGAATCCAATCGAGAATCTGTGGAAAGAACTGAAAACTGCTGTTCACAAATGCTCTCCATCCAACCTCACTGAGCTCGAGCTGTTTTGCAAGGAGGCATGGGCAAAAATTTCAGTCTCTCGATGTGCAAAACTGATAGAGACATACCCCAAGCGATTTACAGCTGTAATCGCAGCAAAAGGTGGCGCTACAACGTATTAACTTAAGGGGGTTGAATAATTTTGCACGCCCAATTTTTCAGTTTTTTATTTGTTAAAAACGTTTGAAATATCCAATAAATTTCGTTCCACTTCATGATTGTGTCCCACTTGTTGTTGATTCTTCACAAAAAATTACAGTTTTATATCTTTATGTTTGAAGCCTGAAATGTGGCAAAAGGTCACAAAGTTCAAGGGGGCCGAATACTTTCGCAAGGCACTGTATACATGGTCTGGGGTGAGCTTAGTCCTGCTGTTCACCATGTCATCCTTCAGGAGTCTCTTCTTCACCGCCTTGACAGCCTCTGTGGTGGGAATGTGAACAAGGATGTGGCATAATATGAGACCATGGTCTCATCCTGGTCCAGCTGCAGTGAGGTCTAAATACACCAAGAAGGTCAAGTCTATAGCATCAAAAGTGAAAAATATCATTACTAACTTCTAGAAGTACCAATTCAGTACTGTCATTATTTTTCAGCAATACCATTATTAAAAGCTTACAGCTGGATAAAAACAATCTTCTCTGAGACTCCAATTAGGAGACAGGTCCAAAATTTGACAAAACTGAAGGGTCAAGATTAAATTTTTTTAAGAAGAGCCTGGACAAGAGTATGTTTAAAGGTTTCTGGAAAAGTCCTCATTAAAACAGAGTTTAATAATAACAAGATAGGTAAAAAGAAACAATAAGCAAGAAAAGAATCAATTCACAGGCTGTTACTTCTTCTGTCCACAACCCTTTACAGTTTCCTTCAGGCAAACTCTCCCAAGATGATCAGCATAGCATTAGCCCTAGCGGCATGGGTATTTAACTACTGGTCAACGAATCCCATAGTCCTCCCAGACAGTTTTTAGTGCCTAGAAAACCTCTTGGTTGTGCATGTAAGCAGTTAGTAAACCAAAATCACAAGATGTCACAAAGTTTGTTTTACATCAGTTTATCTTCTAATTCCATCTCTGCTACCACCTCTGTCTTCTGGCCATTGCTGTATTGAAATTATTTTTTGTATAAGGTGAAGTATTAAGCATTAGGCAACAGAACTAATGCAAATGGCTTGGGATGACTGGCTTGGGAGGTAGAGTGGGTTGTCTCCTAACTAGAAAGCTGGTGGTTCAATTCCCAGCTTCTGTTGAAGTGTCCTTGAGCCAAACACTGAACCTGAAATTGCTCCTGGTAATATCACCATTGTGGGTGTGCTTGGGAGTAGATGAATGGGCAAACAGTGTGAACGTGCTTTGTGTTTGCTGCAATACATAAAAACCAGTATACAGCTATAAGTCCATTTACCATCTGTCTTATCAATCTTATTTCTATTTCTTTGAAAAAATGTGAATTAAAAGCTAACAGAAACAAAGTATTGCGAGAAGAAGAAATTAATCTGCTCTGTATCTGTTCTTTAGCAAAAGCTCAAAGTGGGCCATCATGGAGAAAGGTCTCTGGAGAGCTTCTGTCAGTGGCAGTATAGAGAGTTTGGTGGGCCACGGTACCTTGGCACCAACCATGTTCCTGGTGGAAGGGATGACATCCTACCAGTGGATAGTGCTGTGCTGGTCACCAGGTATGTAGCTGGCTCAAATACTGTAAGTATAATGAATAATAAATGCATTAAATATGATCTTAGCTCTTGGACAGCTGCTTTTTTCTGTGAAGAATAGGATTGTCACTTTTTCAGTCTTAAAACCTTTGTGTGTTGTTTGGGTTCCTGGTGACGCACTTTTCTTTTTTTATAAAAAAAAAAAAAGATACGAGTAATTATTTTTTCAAGGGCAGACTCAGTGGCCTTGGCTCATTTTCTGTGAAGAACATATATCAGAACACATTTTCAATGATTGACACACTGCACCCCTTTACACATTTACATTACATAGAGGATGTTCATGGGTCAACTTGACTAATAAAAGTGTGCTTTTTGCATTTGTGTTGCAAAATACAAGTGCTCACACCTCTCTGCTTGCATATTTCACACCCTACACATTCCTGCCCATTGTATCCTCTGCCTTGTGGGTGCAACACCCACAGGACAGACACAATAAATATATCATTGCCAGTGTAGTTCCTTAGCACAACTGACATCACAGGTGATCAAGATGGCCAAAGGAATCTCTGTTCAGAGGGCCTTGCATTCACATTTCTGAAAACTTAGAGTTTGACAGTGACTTTGGAGAAGAAGATGAGATTGAGCATCAGCCATCTGCAGAGCCAGAGGAAGATTTGTGATGTTATGTAAATTTTTTTATTGCATTTTATTAAAAAACAAAATAAGAGTAGCACTAGGGCAGCATGGTGGCATGGTGGTTAGCGCTGTTGCCTTACAGCGAGAAGGTTCCGGGTTCATCTAAGGCCATAGTAGTTCAGATTCTGCAAAAACAGTAAAGAGATATTTTAAAGAGCCCATGGCATGCTGATTTTTAGTCATTTAATGTTTAATGTAGACAAGATTTGCACCCCTCATAACTCTAAATAGTCTGTAATTACCACAGCCATGGTATCACAATTATCACAGTGCAGCAGCAGGATCGAAAATATGTCCACAAAACCAGGCGCAGTCGAGAAATTCAGCTTTTACAATGGCACTTAATACTCTATTTTGTTAGACAAAAAGTCTTGTGAGTGAGTTTATGAGACGTGTATAAACTGTGTTGCTTCTGCACAGAAGTACTAGAACATACATACACCTCATTTTTTAGCTTTAGGTTACATCTAATATGATAATTCACCATTCTAATATTGCAGATAAGTCAGAAAACAAGGAAAAGCACCATGGGCTCTTTAGGTCAAGGTCAAGGTCAAAGTGTTTGTCATATGCACAGTTAGGAAACGTGTTTCCCTGTACAATGAAATTCTTACTTTGCGGTCCACATGAATGCCACAAAATACAAATGAAATGTAAAGTAGATACATAAGTAACACAAAATCTAAAGCACTTTAAGCAGCAAATGCAGAAATGTGATAAAAATATATAAGAATATAATAAGAGAATGTATGCTGCATGGGAGCAGCATGTGCAGCAGTCAACAGTCAATGTGCAATTATGCATGTGCAAACTGAGAATGTAAACAGTACAGGTCGACAGTACATGACGTATTTCCTGG